AAAGAGGGCAAACCATGTGTCATTATAAAGCTCAACCGAGTTTTGGGCTTCAAACCTAAGGCAAGTAATATTTTAAATCATAGAATTTAGATGAGCCATTCACAATTCGATGTAGTCCTTAATTGGTATGAAAAGAGACCCTAACAGACGTTTAAAGGATACTCAGTGACAGTTTTGAAGCCTGATCAGTAGAGTAACACTGAAAAACCTCTGTGGCCACCTTGGAATTCTTAGGGTTAGGTCATTAATCTCATTTCCTAAAGTTAGAGAAATTCTGTGTGGCAAAGCCAAATTCTGAAGTAAGTCCTGTGGCCCTGTTCTGGATTTCTATTATGTAATTCTATAACGTAAACTCTTTAAAAGTAAAAAAGAGAAAAAGATGTCTTTAAATTTAAAACCTATCTGAACTGTAGGAGCCACAGTATTTAAAAAAAAAAAAAATCTCGTAATCTGAAATAATTACCTGGTCATCAGAAAAAATTTTTTGTTTTTTTTTCTGAATGAAGATTCCGTTAGAACTTCTAATTCAAAATTAGAAGTTGAATACTGTCTAGGTTGAACTTTTATAACCATGCCATTGGCTTTTGCCATTATTGCAACTTATAATGGGTAAATACTACTAGAGATCATTGAAAAATTGCAAATTGCCTTCGCTCACCATTTGGTGGGATGGTAGCAATTCTTTAAAATTAGAAGAAAAAAATTGTATGGGTGTTATCTCTGTTTTTATAAGACTGCTTATTTCATTCTTCCCCCCAGCTCATGAAGTAAAAAATGCTGTCCTTTTCTCTTAAGCGTGGATTCTTACAGAAGATTTCTCCCATTTGCTCATGAGAGCATTGCCATTAAGAGGGTAGTTTTTGGTTCCGATAGGAATTGACTGCAGTATACAGTTATATGAACAAACTTACTTCATTTCTGGAATCTGGCTCTTTTGTTCATTAACTTTCTATTATATGCTCTTTATTTCTGCAATGCTTGTTACCCATGAATAATATTTTCAAAAGAAAGTCAATGTAGAGATGAAAAGTTTTATTAACATAACTGAAGGATACATCAAAACTCCTTTACTGCCACCAGAGGCAAAAATGGATGAGTGGGTGCATGGATGTTTGCCTGGCTGGCTTGTTGGATCTCCTACAGAAATTAATGTACCTCTCAACAGAATTTTAATCTTCGTTCCACGTAGACTAGGAGGTAATCGAAGAAAAATGGTGAAAGCCATTATGTCACACTTAGAGTTGATATTCATATTGCTAGGAAATTCTTCACCAAGATAAACAAGCTATTTGGCAATGAAAGGGATTGGTGCAGTGTATCCAAAGGACTAATCGTGATCTTTGCTCTCCAAATCCCTCACTTTTGATAATTCCTTTTCATAGACATTGAATGATATTTGTCCCCCACAGAGTCTGTTGTGATTCACATCTCTTCCCATATTTATAAAGATATTCTGTTAAAGTGATGAATTCAGCTACTCTTTCTTTTCAGTCTTTGTTTTTTTTTTTTCCTCTGGATTCCCCTTGGTTATCCATTGCCACTTTCTGATTCAGCCCCGCATCCCAAATCCCCAACTCTTTCGTTGTTGGAATTACAGAGATTACAGTACTCCACATCTCACTTGATGTGCCCGTTCCCTCACTCCCTGAGGATAGATTCTGGTAACTTCTTTATCAATGTGTATTTTCTCTTCATATTTTTAAAGATAAATCTATTGCTGGCAGAAAGTTCCAAGAATCAAATCTAGATGATCATTTTCTTATATTCCAAAAGAAAGAGCAGTACCAAAAATAGTCCTTTACTGATATAGAGAATTGTGCATTTTATCTGACTTTGATTAGGCTATGTATGTGTTACATCTCATGTCAGGACTCACATACTCTGCTGATGTGAGTAAGCAAGTGACTGTCTGTCTTCCAGGGGGTAGATGTCCATCACTCTTCTCCTGAGATGGATTTGAGCCAGGGATCTAGGAAGGCAGGCCCTGGATATTTCACTACAGCAGTAATTTTCAACGTGTACTATGGGTCCCTTCGATGGAGTCACCCCTTCACAAGACCCCTTCATTGAGGGCAATGCCACTTTAATCTATTTTACATGCTGGACTTGCCCAACAAAACTGGGACTTAAATGACAGGGCCTCCACTGGAGATTTAAAAAAGAAGAAAAAAGGAAAAAAAAAAAAAAGGAAAGCTTACTTGAAGAAGGCATGCTTGAGGGAGAAGGATGGCATTATTTATTCATGGCTTGGGAGGAAAGCCCAAGTTTTATAAAAACAGAAATGTCAACCAACCTTTCCATCTAATTATAATCTTAGCAAATGAGAAGAGAGCATTATTTCTGAGTTGGCTCTTATTTTTCAGTGTCCTTGAATAAAGCTTCTAATGGGTTGCCATTAGAAGTTCCATTTAGTACTGGGCTACACATCACGGCTTAACTGTAGTGGTCACAAAACTTGGGCATTTATTTTCAAGAAAATCACAGCATGACCTTTCCTAGATTGGTTAGGAGAGTCATTCATTCTGCTGTCCTCAAGTGTTTGGTTATTATTTCAATTGACCAAAGTGTACTTGTTTGGGCTACAAGCTAGTTTTATTTTTCAGAAGTTAAAGGAATTATTTACAAACTTATTGACCAACATGGATTTTATTTTTAGCCTCCCAAGAATGAGTCCTTGGATACTTACCCAGTGATGAAGTATAATCCATATGTCCTGCCTGTTCAGTGCACTGGCAAGGTAAGGAGACCTTTAGAGTTACTGAGGGTGGGGCAGGAGAGAGGGGAGAATGAATGAGATTGTTTTAAATAAGAGGTAAAACTTTAACATGGGAAATAAGAAGCACTGCTTCCAGGAATCAGTCTCAGCCGATTGAATTGTAGCTACACTGGGTAAAACTTCTTAAAAGAACAGAAAGATGTAACAAGAATAAAAACATCTGTCAGTTTCTCCAACTGGAACAAGAAACCGAAATATCTGAATTTAATCAGTTGGAATATTGGTTTACAGAACTGAGAGGTGAACTAGCCCACATGAGTGCTTCTCTGGCTCACATGGTGTGTCAAAAACTTGAGGCCAACGTTTTTTGTTTTTTTTTTAATAATTTTACATTGAAAAATTGCTTCTGGCTTTTCTTTAAAAAGAATATTGAAATATTAAGGTAACCATCAATGTGTATTCCCTTTAAATCTGAAGACAGGTACCTGATGGATTGTTTAGAGAGAGAAGCAGAATAAAGAAAGGGAAATCTCCAAACAGTTCAAATTTATGTTGGCACCAAGAAAGGAAATGGACACAAGAAAATGAAAGGCAAATAGTTAAACTTTTGGAGGTAATGTCATTGAAAATATCCACTGGGCCAACACTGAAGAGTTTCTTTCAGTGCTGGCCCTACTTCTAGGAGGTTGTGTTGGCTTGAAGAAAGGCTTAGTTGGCTTTTGCCGCAGTTTCCCATTTGTACAGTGAGGAAAGCCTCCTTTTAGTGACCATTTCTCAAGGCTACTAAGGATTAGGCTGAGTGTGTCTCTTCCTCTCGTGGGAGATGCGGTTCCCGTATCCTCCAGTGGTTAGTGCTCACCTCCTCCCGCGAGGGGATTGAGCTGGCATGTCCGCGGATGACCCACTTCCTCCAGCAGTAGCTTGCAGACTCCTTTGTGGGACTGAGAGTCTCATTTGTATGTGAGTACAAATCGTCATCCAGGATGTGAGCCCTGAAAAATCTCATTTCCTCTCTGGTTTCCAGCGAGACGAAGATAAGGAGAAAATTGGAACCGTGGAGTATTTTGGACTGGGCAGCTACCCTGGTTTCCCGCTGCAGTATTATCCCTACTACGGCAAGCTCCTGCAGCCCAAGTACCTGCAGCCCCTGCTGGCTGTACAGTTCACCAACCTCACCATGGACACGGAAATCCGCATAGAGTGTAAGGCGTATGGTGAGAACATTGGGTACAGTGAGAAAGACCGTTTTCAGGGACGCTTTGACGTAAAAATTGAAGTTAAGAGCTGATCACAAGCACAGATCTTTCCCACTAGCCATTTAAAAAAGTTAAAAAAGATACAAAAACCTACTAGTCTTGAACAAACCGTAATACGTATGGGACCTACACTTAATCTATATGCTTTACACTAGCTTTCTGCATTTAATAGGTTAGAATGTAAATTTAAAGTGTAGCAATAGCAACAAAATATTTATTCTACTGTAAATGACAAAAGGAAAATAAAAATTGAGCCTTGGGACGTGCCCATTTTTACTGTAAATTATGATTCCATAACTGACTTATAGTAAGCAGTGTTTCTGGCCCCTAAGTATTGCTGCCTTGTGTATTTTATTTAGTGTACAGTACTCTCGGTGCACACACTCTGGTCATTTTTCAAGCCATGTTTTATCGTATCTGTTTTCTACTTAACGTGAGCAAAGTTTGCTGTCCAAGGTGTAAATATTCAATGGGAATAAAACTGGCATGGTACTTTATTTTTCCTTTTTGGATTTGGCTCTTTCAAAGATGATAATGGCCCATCGATGAGCATTTTTAACACACTCCATAGTCTTTCCCTGTGGTGTTTGTTAGGTCTTTATTATTATTATTATTATTATTTTTCCTGGGTCTGGGTTGTGGGGGTGGGGTGGGCTGTTATGGGGGAACTGCCCTTTAAATTTTAAGTGACACTACAGAAACACACACAAAGGTGATGGGTTGTGTTGTGCTTTGTACTGAATGCTGTCCTGACTCCTCTTCCCCTGTCCTCCAGTCTGTTCTGAAGCCGTGTGTGAGATCTGGAGCGCCCGTCACTTTGGCTAGTGATTGATAGGGCTGATTAATTTGCTTTGTACATTTTCTTTCACTTTCCTTTTTTCCTTCCTCTGGAGGCATCACCTGCTGGTGCTGTGTCTTTATGAATGTTTTAACCATTTTCATGGTGGAAGAATTTTATATTTATGCAGTTGTACAATTTTATTTTTTTCTGCGAGAAAAAGTGTAATGTATGAAATAAACCAAAGTCACTTGTTTGAAAATAAATCTTTATTTTGGACTTTATAAAAAGCAATGCAGTACCCCATAGACTGGTGTTAAATGTTGTCTGCAGTGCAAAATCCATGTTCTAACATATGTCATAATTGCCAGGAGTACAGTGCTCTTGTTGATCTTGTATTCAGTCAGGTTAAAACAATGGACAATAAAAGAATGAACACATTCCTCATGTGTGATTCACTCTTGTCTAAACACCACAACCTGTGACTTCTTTACTTTCTACACTGCTAGTTATCCAAGATCTTGAAGAAATACTGAACCTGAAAGACAAACACGTGATTTCATTAGTTCACATGGAAGTCAGGCTTTTCTACCCGACAGAGGCCAAGAGCTGGGTCAGGACTCTGAACACCAAGGTGCACACCTCTTCCCAGTGAGACAGCCAGGTTAGTTGGAGGCAGAGGCTCAATCAGCGAAGTTTTAAAGTTCAAGTTTAGAAATATTTTGCAGTGATACTCAGTTTAGAAAACATGAAATTTTGGTTCCTGCTAGTGCTTCACGAGATATGGTTGTTAGTAGTTCAGTTAAAAAAAAAAAAA